CCAAGGCTTTTTTTTAAGCCATATCCAAGTACTTAGCCGTGGAGTAGTACGTTGGTTCATATAATAACTAGTACCGCTACCACCTAGTCTGTTTGACAAGAACACATGGCCTTCATACACACCACCAAGTATTAATTTGGATAGCTATAGGAATAGGAATAAGAAGGGAAATTTCATGTTATATCTTTTGACCACTTCAGCGTCTTCTCTTGATCACCTTATGCAGATAATAGCAATAGCATTTAAAGTGCATTTTTAAGAACAAAAAATTCTTTATTTTTGCTGTGCTTTTCCACGAACTGATTAAAAAAGAGCATCGTCGTCTTCTTCTGGTTTTAAACATATAAAAAAGAACAAGTTTGTCTGACAACAAATATATGCTCCAAAGGAAGCAATCATTGGCATATTTTGATATTAAAGAAACATTATCTGAACCCACCAAATCGCAGGTTTTGTTGTGTTGAAAACGCCCAACACGACGCCATGGCAACAAACAGGAGGGCTACCCCTTCATTTTTCACAAGAATTTACTACTTGAGCATCGAGTTCACTTTCTTCTTCTTTTGAATTAACAATGGATTGGTTCCGTCCTAGGCACATATTATATGTCATTGTAGGACGTTGGCTTTTTATAGCTTGGATTTTTCGAGTTAACTCGTTCCCTAATCTTGTTCCACCAAAGTACTTATTATGTTGTTCCGTATGAGCTGATCTTTCTTTTTTTTTAAATTTATTCTATCTGCACAATCTCTCGACTCTTGTATCCAGAGATTCCTAATTTAGGCAGGTCCACCGTCCATGATCTGTGGTGCATGGTCGGTCTGCAAAATTTAATAAAGGGTTGAAAAATGTATTCCCCCCCTACGGAAAATAGTTTCCACTACTCAAACAATAGTAATTATATTTGGAGATCAATCATCGTTTCAAGAAACTGGGTTTCAAATTTTTGTTGAATTTTCTGACCTGGTTGATATCCACTAGAATTATTACGATTAGTCATGTTGGTTAACATCCCAAGTGTCTTGGCGTACCATATTTCCCATTGTTTTCATGTTTGAAACATCCAAGGCCCGTGAAAAATTACAATTAAATGCCCTAAGCTTGTTTCCCAATTACTAGCATATGAAAAGTTTTTTTATCTTTAATTAAGTTGAAGTGATTAAAGCTTAAGTGATTATAAAGTAGTATTTGATTTAAATACTCTCAATTATTTGATAATGAATATTTTATTATTTTTGTAAATTACAACTATTAATGCTCGAATCCAAAACCTCTAGGAATAACAACTATTTTTCTAGCAACCGAACCAATTCTAGTTGGTTCATGATATGAAAAGTTAATATCGTCATAACTTACTGTTGAAAACATTTTGATATTTCGATATAACAAATTAAGTTAAATGAATTTTAAGATTTTCCAAATGATTTTCTAAGCATATTCGATAGAATTATTCGAATATCAAAATATTACTCTAAATCTTTCAAAGATCATTTTTAATCCTTACTCAAAGTGTAAAATTAAGTTTTAATCTTAAAACAATTTCAAAATAATTTTACAAAGTATTTCGAACCATTTCAAAGCGAAAAATTACAGATTGCTCAGAGGGAACCGATTCCCCCCTAAGGGGGTACCGATTCCCCCCTGAATGGTTTGGCTCCGAGAATTCCAGTATGCTCGGAGGGAATCGATTCCCCCCCAGGGGGTACCGATTCCCCCCTTGTATAACGGTCGAAATATTTGAATTTTACACTTAGGGAACCGATTCCCCATAGGGGGTACCGATTCCCCCCACGCTCCAAACTGTTTTATTAATTGTTTTCACACTAAAACGGCTATATTATTTTCTCTAATTATCCCCAACGTTCAAAGGTGATTCAAGGTGTATTTAAGCAAGCTTAGAAGCCATTGATCAACAACAAGAAACATTAAGCAATTAGAATCAAGAGAGAATCAAAGAGAAAGCATCAAACCTCAAGTTTGAGCATTTCAAGCCTATTTTTCATTTAATGTTCATTTTGCCTTATTGTGCTCAATTGTATTTATTCTTGAGTGTTCTTTCTTTGTTCTAGAATTGTACAAACATATTTGCCTTGTGAGGTTTTTCTTGTAAGTTTGCAAATTTGTATTTCTCTTTGAGAAAAGAGTGTTCTCAAGAATTGGGGTATATTTTTGAGGGAGTTGTAAGTTATCTCTTTGGTCTCAAAAGAAAGAACAAATTATTGAATTTGTTTGAAAATCCTTAGTGTGGATAGCTAAGGTAGTGAACGTAGACTTTGGTTGATAAAGTCGAACCACTCTAAATCGTTGTGCAATTTCTTTCAATTTTCTGCAAAAGCTTTCACAAAATTTTTTTATTGCCAATTCACCCCCCTCTTGGCCGATTCAGTCAATCGATTAACTCAACACTTACAATAACCACTAACGCTTTGTTTATTCCTTGAATGTTTGTATAATTATATATTCTCATTATCCTACTCATTGCCGGCACAAGTATAAGAAATCCACTTCAAAGTCAACGAAATTTTGTTGATCAAAATCTTATCTAGTTACCACTTTCGAATTACAACAGTTGCCGGTAGTTCTGTTGCTTTCCTCGTTATAATTCACGACCGCACATATTTATAATTCAGTCGAATTTATAATTTAAATTTAGAGTAAAATACACAAATAGTCCCCTTATTATAGGATATTACTTTATTAAGTCATTTGACTATTAAAAGTTACAAAATATAAGGAATTACTTTGTCGAGTCACTCGACTATTAAAATTTATAAAATAGTCACTTCACTATTCATCATATTTCAAAATCGTCTTTTTCATTAAAAAGTTAATGGTAATATGAGATTGACGTTAACATGTTGATTGAGATATGATAGTTCATTTAAGATTATGATATCATATTTTATCATATCTTAGTCAACATGTTAATGTATACCTCAGGCTGTCGTTAATTTTTTAACAAAAAATGATATTTTTGTAACATAATGAATAGTTGAATGATCATTTTGTAACTTTTAATAGTCAAGAGATTTCACTAAGCAACTCCCTATAGTCGGAGAACCATTTTGTAACTTTTAATAGTTGAGAGACTTAATAAAACAATATCGTATAGTCAGGAGACCATTTATGTACTTTACCCTTAAATTTATATGTTCAAGTCGATCTTATGCTTAAAAAATGATGTTATATTAAACTTAAAATGAGTGTAGTATTAAATTATGGCTACAATACATTATAACAATCGTATCATAACGTTTTTTAAATCATCACAATATCTATAATCGTAATTTAATACTATACTCACTGTCAAGTCCTAAATTTTGAATTGGATCGAAGCTTAAAATTGGTGTAATTTAATACTTGGTTCAATTGTATTGTCACGCCTTAATTTCTCCCCTTTAAGATATTTCAGGACTTTAGGATCAGATTGACACCTTAAAAATTGAAGTCTCAAATTTAAATTACTTTTATTAAATTATTTATGATAAAAGGGTAATAACTGTATAAACTATTTGAATCTGATTTTATATTTGTTAAACTTTTTGAATTGATTTCCGAATTACTTTGATGATCAATGTATCCATCAGGATTTGACTGTAATCTATGGGCCGAGTCTAGGGGTTACATTTACTAATATTAGAGGTATATTTATTAACCTCGGACTGTAACTGTAGAGCTCACTAAAATCACAAATTTTGAAACTGATAAATAAAAACAATTTGTAAACTTTACTTGAAAATTGAGAAAATAGGATTTTAAAATTATTTTTGACATATTCCGAGATTCCGATGTCGATCCTAACTTTAGTTGATTTGTTTTTCTTTGTGTTTTGATATGTATTTTCTAGTTAACTTTGTTTTATATATCTGTTGGTAAGTTGAGACAATTTCGAGGACGAAATTTTCTTAAAGAGAAGAGAATTGTCACGTACCTTTTTTTTCCTCTCTTCAAGATATTTTAGGATGTTAGTATCAGATCGACACCTCGAAAATCGTAGACATAATTTAAATTATTTTATGATAAAAGGGTATTAATTGTATAAAATATTTGAAAACTTAATTTTATATTTGATAAACTTTCTGAATTGATTTTCGGATCATTTTAGTGATCAATATAACTATCAAAATTTGGTCGTAACGTGTGGGCTGAGTCTAAATAATTCTTAGGTTTATGTTTTATGTTAGGGCTTTGATCCATTAATGGGCTGCGATAAATTCCCGTGTTTGGAGTTTAAGCTCTCAGTTTTTGGGTTTATCTCTTGTACTTTCGTTAATCGTTTGGGAGTATTTCTACTTCTTTGTATCACTCTTTCTTCAACAGAAGTCCATATTTACCCCCAAAGCTCAAAACATTAGATTAAAACATGCTGCAAGTCTTTATATCATTGGACAACCTCATTTGACTGTAAAAGGGGGCTACATGAATGGATGTAGTTCGTATTCTGTTGCTTCTTAAGTAGGAAGTATGCATTGGACATATACAATACTAATGAAGTAGTTGACTATTTGATGTGGCTAAGTTATGAAGTTCGACTGGGGAGAAGATATTTTCGACACTACAAGCTCAAATTGCTGGAATGCTACAGATGCATCAAGTTGCCATAAATTAGTTAACTTTGTTCTCCTTAAAAAAGTATTTGAAGTGACAACACAATCAAAGGATGCCGGAATTTGGTTGTTGGGATGCTTTAATGGTTATGTGAATGGAAGGAAAAGAGAAAAAAAGTAGTTTTTTTATAAAGTAACGTATAAGAAAAAAAATATAGAAAGAAGACTCTTGATTGGAAGTGTTCAAATTTTAGAATTGCTTATTGTGACATTAGTGCAAGGCCTCTTTTTCCTGGGAACCAAACGAAATCCTAGCAGTCGTCAAATTATGCTACAAGAAGGCTAAGTTGAGTCGTTATTCTTGGAACTTTCCCGAGTGAACGGGAACGAAAGTCTTAGTCCACTTAGGTGCCGAAGACTATTATCATTCCTTGATTGGTCCACGTTCCATTCACTGTTTCATTGCGCTTCCACAACATTCAAATTTCAAAGTTTCGAAACCCACAAGCAAAAGCAAACCTCAAATGGCCCCTTTCTGCTCTCTTACTTTTCTTCTTCCATAAAAGCAATCCCTTTCCCCCTTTCTTTTCCACCGTTTGTTTTTTCTTTGAGGGGAAGTGACACAAAAAGAAGATGGAGAACGAAGAAATGACGATTGATCTCAGAGGAACCCCAACATACGATGGCAGATATGTCCGTTACAACATCTTAGGTACCATCTTCGAAGTTCCTTCCAAGTATGCTCCGCCTATTCAGCCTGTTGGTCGCGGCGCTTACGGCATCGTTTGGTAATATCCTGCTTTCCTGAGCAAAACTTTGCATTTTTTACTTTCTTCCCAGTTCGGGGTTTCGTTACTTTAGAGTCTAAAGCTGTAGATTCACCGAATTGGTTGATTTCTTGGGTTATTTTTATTCTTCATTGTTGGGATTTCAGTGCTTAGCAGAAGATCTAATTAGAAGAGTAGAAAACGGGAATCTTTAGTGCCCTTTTAGAGAAATTTCAGAGATGTAACCAGAAATGAGATATGGGTTTCTTCCGATTTAATGTTTCAATTAGTTAGAATTGAAATACTTTAGGGATTGATCTTGATATTGGTTTTTCCTTATGGGGTTAATGAATTCGATTCTCGTGATAATTGCAGCTGTGCCACAAATTCTGAGACAAAAGAGGAGGTTGCGATTAAAAAGATTGGGAATGCATTTGACAACAGGATTGATGCTAAAAGAACACTCCGTGAGATCAAGCTCCTCTGTCACATGGATCATGATAATGTGATCTCCACATTCATAATTTGTTTGCCTTTTCATATTATAGTATGAAGGAGATTTGAAGGGTTGCTTTAATACTTGGCAGATCATCAAAATCAAGGACATAATTACACCACCGGAGAAGGAGAAGTTCGACGATGTTTACATCGCGTATGAGCTAATGGACACTGATCTGCATCAAATAATACGGTCTAGTCAGGCTCTCACCGATGATCACTTTCAGGTGATAGACTTATCATGTTATAACACAACACCGATATTAGTTTAAATGTTATTGTGTACTTAAAGTTAGGCTGTGAATTCATATTTGTTGAAGCTATATGTTGCTTTGCAGTATTTCCTATATCAACTGCTACGGGGCCTGAAGTACATACACTCGGCAAATGTTTTGCACCGGGACCTAAAGCCTAGCAACCTGCTTCTCAATGCAAATTGCGATCTTAAAATTTGCGACTTTGGTCTTGCGAGAACCACCTCTGAGACAGACTTCATGACCGAGTATGTCGTAACCAGGTGGTATAGAGCCCCTGAGTTGCTTCTCAATTGTTCGGAGTATACTGCTGCTATCGATATCTGGTCAGTTGGCTGTATCTTAATGGAAATAATTAGAAGGGAGCCACTTTTTTCTGGTAAAGATTATGTTCAGCAGTTGGGGCTTATTACTCAGGTATTCATCCTTTCATTTTCGTTCAAACTCAAAACCCATTGCTTCAGTTTCGTAGTCGATTGGAGCATGAAGCAGGTTGTGAAATTTGTAGTTGATGGATGCATGATTACAAAACTTGTTTAGATGAATACGTTTCTTTGCTGATCACTCCATAAAACAGCTGCTAGGGTCGCCAGAAGATTCAGATCTCGGATTCCTTAGGAGCGACAATGCTCGAAAGTATGTTAAGCAGCTTCCTCGTTTCCCTAAGCAGCCTTTTGCAGAAAAGTTTCCAGATTTGTCTCCCGAGGCAATCGACCTTGCTGAAAAAATGCTTGTTTTCGATCCAAGCAAGCGCATCACCGGTAAATTCTGGCAATAGGATTTACAATGGTTGTGCTTTTTCCACATTTCCTGTTGTCGTTTTTCTTATAAGAAACATCTCTTTTATATGATGCATGTAAAGTGGACGAAGCACTGAATCACCCATATTTGTCAAGTCTTCATGAGATAAATGAAGAGCCCACTTGTCCATCGCCTTTCGTCTTCGATTTCGAGCAGATGACCTTGAACGAAGAAGATATTAAAGAGCTGATATGGAGGGAGTCTTTGAACTTCAACCAAGATAAGATGCTCGAATGAAGTCAGTAACAAGTTATTTTACTTCCTTTATAGTGTTTCGTTTCATTATAGTCCTGGTCCAATGCTTGGTTACGTATAAGTACAAGAAAAAGAAAAGGGAGATAGGTTCTTCCTGGTGGTGGTGTGATTTAAAATGGTGGAAATAGTTTTTGGGTTCATATGGGAGTCTGATGCAATAACTATACACACTAGTTTTGGAAACCCAACCATTAAAATGAGGATTTGAATTGTTACGGGATCCCCATTGATTTTCGATCGGGTCATTTTAGATTGAGTTATTTTAAATTCGAATCATTTCGAATTTCGAATTTCAATTATATGACAATTATGTGTGTAATACGTATTTAAATACTTTATTAAATATATGAAAAACATAATTTGGTATTTTTTTGGCTCCCAAATATGCACTTGTAACTTTATCCACAGTAAGTATTTGTTCGATTGATTTGTTTCTAGGTGATCTATTTGATCTGTAATTTTTTTACATGATAACCATATATTGTAAATATATACATTTAAACAACATATATATTGAAAAAAGTCAAACCTGGTCAACAGTCATCATAGCTCGGTCAATTGTTTGGTCTGGATGACTCGGCTAGGCTTGACGGATCAGCAGCTCGGCTCAGGCAGACCAGTTCAGATTGGTTCAATTCGGTCTTCTAGAAGACTTGTTCTAGCAGAAAACCCCCACGCGCAGGAACAACGCGTGAGGCGCTTGCGGTGGTCGGACGACCACTAAAAATTCTAGAATCGTAATTCAAATGTCATCTAGTCCGTTGCTGGCGTTGTTTCACGACGAAGAGCGACGAAAGTTATGTTTTAAATTGGTCGAACCTTCTCCTCGCTCGCCCCTCACGACGATGACGACGAGGGTGTCCGATCGGTTTGGGTTCTGATCACAACGGTCCAGTGAGGTCAACGACGGTGGCGGTGCGATCAACCGGTGACGAAAATGGCTGTAAACAACGAAAAATTGAGGTGGTAGTTAGTTCTCCGACAAAGATTCGATGCTTCTTTTACGATGATCGGTGGACTTTCATGACAAACGATCGATGGGGTTTTAGTCGGGACGAGACGTCACTCCTGTTGGTACCGATAGTATCGTTCACGGCGGTCGGAGGTGGGTTCAATGACGTGAAATGAACGACGGATTTTAAAGTTTTGGGGATTTTTAATTCAGGGTTTGTTTCGATTTGAGAGAAATTGAGATTTTATCCCAAACAGAAAGCTTAAAATAATGCTTTGTTAATAAATTATTTCAAGAACATTATATAGCCTAGTGGCTAAGGAAAGGTCAAATCTTCCTAGAGATCATTGATTCAATTCTTGTGAACCATTGTATATTTTTTTTCTTTCCTCATTCGAGGGTAAAAACCAATAGGTAAAATCAGGCTCAAGGTCCAAGATTGACTAGCAATTTGCATAACGGTCCCTAAGACTTCAAAGCCTAAAATTTTGGTCCCAAAACAGACTTAATTAAATATTATAAATTAAGTTTCAAATTGGGATATGACAACTAAAGTTACAAAATAATCCTTCGGCTATAGGGCGTTGCTTTATTGAGTCTCTCGACTTTTAAAAGTTACAAGATGATCATCCGACTATTCATATGTTTTAAACTCGTATTTTTTCGTTAAAAAATCAATGATAGTCTGAGTTGGACGTTAATATGTTTACTGAAATATGATAGTCGTTTAAGATTTTAATATCATATTTTATCATATCATAGTTAACAGATTAACTTCTAGCTAAAACTATCATCATTTTTAATAGAAAATAAATAGTTTAAAACATATAAATAGTCGGTGGTCATTTTGTAATTTTTAATCGTCGGGATTCAACAAAGCAATATCTTATAGTCAAAAAATCATTTTATAAATTTTAATACTTGAGTGAGTCAACAAAACAATACCTTATAATCCAAAAACCATTTGTATAGTTTTGTCCTGCATCAAAATACACGAGAACCCCAAAAGTCTTACAACAACATAAGATCCATTAAGGGGGTGTGGGATGAGAATCCCACATTCTCATGTTTGGTTGGCCGGGAATCTCATTCCCGGTAATATTTTATTACCAATAGTAGATTTTTTGGGGTATATTGCTGGGAATGTCATTACCTCCATTCCTTTAGGTATTGTAACATTACCGACATTTTGGACTAAAATGCCCTTAAATTTTTATTTATTTTTTCAAAAATATCATTCTTCTGTCATTGAATAATAAAAATTCTACGAAGGTTAAATTATAAATTTATCCTTAAATTATTTTATATTTACAAAAAAAATCTATAATTAAAATTTTATATGAAGTTCAGGGGTTAAAAAAAATTACCCTTTCATTAAACATTTTTTATATTTTTAATTTTGTAAAAAAAGTATATAAATATTATGAATTTAATTTTTTAAAGAAAATATATAAATATTTTACAATTTGTAATATTATACAAATATATAATAAAGACCTTGAGTGAGTCAGCAAAACAATACCTTATAATCCAAAAACCATTTGTATAGTTTTGTCCTGCATCAAAATACACGAGAACCCCAAAAGTCTTACAACAACATAAGATCCATTAAGGGGGTGTGGGATGGAAATCCCATATTCTCATGTTTGGTTGGCCGGGAATCTCATTCCCGGTAATATTTTATTATCAATAGTAGATTTTTTGGGGTATATTGCTGGGAATGTCATTACCTCCATTCCTTTATGTATTGTAACATTACCGGCATTTTGGACTAAAATGCCCTTACATTTTTATTTTTTTTTCAAAAATATCATTCTTCTGTCATTGAATAATAAAAATTCTACGAAGGTTAAATTATAAATTTATCCTTAAATTATTTTATATTTACAAAAAAAAATCTATAATTAAAATTTTATATGAAGTTCAGAGGTTAAAAAAAATTACCCTTTTATTAAACATTTTTTATATTTTTAATTTTGTAAAAAAAATTATATAAATATTATGAATTTAATTTTTTAAAGAAAATATATAAATATTTTACAATTTGTAAGATTATACAAATATATAATAGAGACAATTTGGTCAAATATATATTCCAATAATCTTTTATTCCTTTAACCAAACACGGTAATCTTACATTCCTGCTAAACCAACCAAACACAGAATACAACATTCTCAGTAATCATATTCTCTGATAATCTTTTATTCCCATTGGTAATTTTACATTCCGTGAATTAAATGCACTTTAAATGGTAAACCCTAATTATTTGAGTTCGCGCTAAATCCCTATTCACAACGAAGACGGTAACGGACAAAATCCTATCTTCAACTCCAAATTCCGTCGCCAAAACCATGGCAAATTTCCCCGGTACAGAAAGCAGAGCGTTGCAAGCGATTGGCGCATAACTTTAACGCGCCTCCGCTTCAATCCACGAGCTCAAATAGATGCATTAAGAGCTACGAAAACAACTGTGAATCCCGAGCTTGTTCAAATTCAGTTCATGTATATGAACTTGAAGTCCACAATACTTAGACTCAACTGTATCATTTACAAACCTAGCTATACGGAACACAAATGAATCACAGTAAACCTCAATGGACGCAACATGGCGTTAAACAAAACACCATGGAGAGCTGCATTCATTAAACTGCTGAAACTATGAGGAGCACTTTTATATTTAAGGCTCTCCTGGAAATCCATTTATGTGCTTAAGGCAGCACAGACATTTGGACCTCCACTCCACCTGTCGTTATTAAACCACTCTCCTACCAGTTTTAATTGTTTAATAAAATGGTAGGTTTTTTCAGTCTGCGGAGTCATTATTATTCTTCGAAGCTGATGGAAACTTCCCTGTAAGGCTTGGCATATTGGCAGGTCACGCCAAAGAGTGGTCCGTAGGTCTACAATGGTGAAGCTATACATTAGTAAAGCAAGTTTTTTATAGGACACTCGGTCACATATAAGCTGACCCATGTCGAAGGCGACCAACCTCGGTTACAATGGGAGGTCATGCTACTCTTTTAACCAGATACATAAAGCTGAGAATCCCAAAAGGTACTAAACCTGCACTTTGCTATTTCAGCAGGTATTTCATCAAAGCGACATTTCAATATCAAAATCAAAGTGAACTCAGATTATTAAATTTGTTACTCCAGATACAAATAATTCCTACTTGGAGTAATGCGGAATGTACTTTTGTTCTGTAGGGTCCATTTGAAAATTTTGTCAGAGACGGCTTTGTTGAAAGCATGCACCGAAAGTGCATTTAGCAAGGTTAAAAAAAATGAAATTTTCAACAATAGTAGGCACCAAATATAAAATGTCAAAATTAGATGCAAAAATGGTTGAAAACTAAATGGGCAAATTACAAACTTTAGTCATTAAACTTTTAGGGTATTTTCAAGATTAGTCCTTAAAGCTTATACTATAAATACCCTAGCTCATTTAGCTTCAAAACTATCCCAAATCATTCTAGCTTTCTTCCAAATACTAGAGAATTTAGAGAGTTTCTTGAGAGTTGTTTTCTCCCTTTTATCAAGAGAGAATTATCATTGTTTTCTCCTTGGTAGATCGAGAGAGGTTGTAATTCCTATTTTCTCATAGTGAAATTCTTCTACCGTTGCCCGTAGTTTTTACCCTAAATTTTTAGGGGTTTTCCACGTAAATTTTGTCTCTTTTATCTTCATTTTTATTTTCTCAAATTATCAGTTGCGATTTTGCTCTATCCAATAGCCGTCTTCCGCAACAATTGGTATCCGAGCTAGATTAGAGTGTGTAATATCTGCTTATTGTCTTTGTGGTTGCCACCAAAAGGTGGATCCTCCAACGTAAGGAAATAAGAAGTTATTACACATTCTTTGAAGGTTCCAGAGAACTATTCACGATAGTGAAATAGTGGGAGTTATCCGTAAAAGAAGCTATGGCAACGAAATTTGATATTGAAAAATTCAATGGGAGAAATTTCTCATTGTGGAAATTAAAGATGAAGGCCATCCTAAGGAAAGACGGGTGTCTAGCGGCTATCAATGAAAGGCCGGTGGATTTCGCATATGACGTCAAATGGAACGAGATGGACGGGAATGCTATGGCAAACTTTCATCTAGCATTAGAAGATGAAGTATTGTCAAGCATCGAGGAGAAGAAGACAGCTAAGGAGATATGGGATCATCTCACCAAATTGTACGAGGCCACATCGCTACACAATAAAATTTTCCTTAAGAGGAAATTGTACACTCTCCTTATGTCAGAATCTACTTCAGTGACGGAGCACTTAAAT